TATTAGCTAACAGGCCTCAGACATGAACACAAGCTAACGATGAGAAGCTAACGATAATATTCACAGAGGTGTTTTCTTTCTGGTGTTCAGGACACCCCCCATGCTTATTTTTTCCTTTTTTTTTAACTACCACAAGTCACTTAATCTTTATCACATTTGGATAACTATAATTATCCTTAATGTAGTTGCTGTTAGCCTACTATCTAGCAGCTTTATCAATCGCAGTGCAGTGTAAACACGCTTTGACCAGTAACATCATATCAAATGAATGAGGTCAGGCTCCCAAAAAAGCTGCAGAGGATCCTCCTGTCCACCACTAACACTCCTGCATGCTGGCTGTGATCACAGAAACCCCCAGAAGAGAAAAATACTCAGAACATCCCCAGAAAGTGCAGCTTCCGATGGACGCTGCAGTTCGACTTCGAACTAATCTTGATTTATATTGCATCTTTCTTACAAGCATGTATCCAAAAGAGGTTCACATAGAGATAAAACAAGAAGTTGGCAATGTAAAGGCAAACATCACAACAACATATTAAGAATAAGCCAATAGAATACAAATAAAGACCAGGATTAAAAATAATGTAGAAAATGGATTCAAGAGGGAGAGGTTTTCCATTAACTTTTTGAAACGCATAGCAAACTTGGATATCTTTCAGCATTAAACCACCATACAGTTTCCTTTTCTTTTTACAAACTGCTACTTTGTTTGTGAAGGAAGTGTTCATGATCATAATGTGTTTTTCTTTTTACAGGTGAAGCAGATTGAGAAGAGAGACTCTGTGCTGACCAACAAGCAGCAGATTGACAGACTGCTCAGACCTGGCTCTTCCTACTTCAATCTCAATCCCTTTGAGGTGAGTACACCACCAATGAAGTATGTTGCTGAGGTTTGTTTTGATTAGTTTAATGGTTAATACATTTAAATATATAAAAACGTTAACTGCCAATCATCAAGTTATGAGACATTAACATATATCTGATTAAATCGCTAGTCAACTCAAGTGTTGATTTCTAATAACATAACTGTTAGGGAATCATTTGCTTAGGTATTCAACCTTCGACACAGTTCATCGTTTTCTCTTTCTTCTGTCTCTTTTCCCATGGCATAGGTCTACGGCCTTGGGTATTGCTGCTATCTCTCTTAAGGAGGGGCAGCTTGGGCGCATTGTTGTTGCCACTCTATGACAGAGCACAAGCTGCCATGAGGTAGTTTACTGTTCAGGGACGTAGGTTCCCTGGCTCACATTCTTTCTAGTTAGATTCAGGGTCCATATTTGTTTAGTCTCACTGATAAAGAATGTTGATTATTGCACTCCGAACTAGTTAAAGCCTCGAGCTGCAGAAGAGTTCTTCAGAATTGGTTTGGCAACCACTGTGTCAACTCGTGATACACAACCTGTCTTGTCAATTCTCCAGTCGTAACTCCAAATAAACCGTCAGTGTTTGCCATCAAAGATCCAGCTCTCCTCGTGTCTCTCTGAGTCCTGTTTCCATTGCTTCAGAAGTTTCCATCACAATAACATTTTGGGGAATCAAATCTTGAAATGTATAAACATGTCCTTTTTTCTTTACTTAATGACTAGCCATTTCTAATCAATGTAATACAAATCCAATCTGTGACATCAAATCTTACTCCCTACTTTATAGTTTTTTTTTTATTATTCCCCCCTCCCAAAAGAATCAGAAAAATGACCTCGTGTTAAACTTTTGGGTGAATTTTATTATCTCAATAGGCTGAAAAATCTGCTGTCGTCAAGCCCTCATCAGAATGAGCCACCAATTACTGTCTTAACAATATGATCACAGCAGAAATATTCCTCTTGTGTTGACACTTTGGTTAAGATCTCGATGTGATATAAACTTACCAATGTTCACCTCATGCTCAGGTGCTCCAAATTGATCCTGAGGCAACAGATGATCAATTGAAGAAAAGATTTCGGGCGGTAAGAATACAACAAAAAAAAAATGTGTCAGCGCTCTCCACTGTGACTAGCTGTGGATGTGGTGCCATGATGTTTTTTGTAACTACTTTTCTAATATGTGCTCTCTTTAATCTGCAGTTATCCATCTTGGTCCATCCAGACAAAAATCAGGATGAACAAGACAGATCGCAGAAAGCCTTTGAAGGTCAAATCTTTACCACCCTGTATGTTTTGTAAATTCAGAGGCTTTATCTGTCACATGCACAGAAGCTACAGGGTAGTTGTTGGCAATACAAATGTTTAGTCGTCGGCTCCTCCAACAATGCAACATACTTAAAGGTGGGGTATGTAATTTATTTCAGAAACACTTTTTGTTATATTCCATGGAATGCTCTTAACATCCCGATAGCAATAAATATATTAAATGCTTTGACAATAAATACATTAAAAAAAATTCATCTGTGGAAGCCGTGGCGCTGCCAAAAGCATGACCAATCATTTTAGCCGGCCCGGCTAACTTTTTTTTAAATAACTGGATGGCCTGCCTGCCTGTCAGCCTTCCATCTGTGCACAAACTTATCTCGTGCCCTCATTGGTCATGTGCGCGTTCGTGTGTGTTGGAGGAGGGGCTCTGTAAGGAAGTGCCAGACTTTTTCCGGTTGTGTATTTTCAAATTGTAGCGCACTCGAGCTGGTTTCTCCAAAATTACCTACCCCACCTTTAAGACATAAGTACTTCTTTATATTAATGTTAGCTTATTCGGTATTATTGCATGCCACTTTTGCTGTAACAATGTACATTTCCCCGCTGTGGGACTAATAAAGGATTTCTAACCTGAGAAAGAAAAAAGACAAAATATCGCAAATTATATAATGGTGCAAGTAGGAATAAGCAGGAAAAAGTCAACTATATATGTGTAAATTCAATGGAAATAAAACAGAATGCAAAAATAAAGTATTTCCAGTAGAATACAATCCTGTATTTTTAATAATGTTATAATAACTATTTGGACTAAAAATGTATGTAGGTGAATATACTTCACAGACCTCAGGGGAATGAATATGCTCTAAATTGGCTGTAATTTAAATTGATAAATGTTTCTCATCTTAGCCGTTGACAAGGCGTACAAGCTCCTCCTCGAACCAGACCAGAGGAAGAGAGCGTTGGACGTGATCCACGCAGGACAGGAATATGTGGAGCATCATGTGAGTTTTCAACACATCTCTTACTCTTCAAACACTCAAGGCATTTTGCCTGCATGTTACTCAGCTCTCCTGGTCTTTATTTGTTTGGTGACATTTTCCCTGCCACCCTGTGCTCCCAACAGGTAAAGGAGAAAAAGAAACAGCTGAAGAAGGACGGGAAGTCGTTGGATATGGAGGAGGACAACCCTGAAGTGGTAAGTGAAAGTTACAAATATATCTTACATACAATATAGCTGTCATAAAAATGAAATGGAGTCATTGTGATTACATGCACTCTCTGTCTATTAGTCTATTAGTGAATTACTTAATTCAAATAGGATTTTCACAAAGTTGAAATAGCGTATATTTGTAATGTTACCAAATATAAGTTTACTTGTCTTTCTACAGTTCAAGCAAGCCGTGTACAAACAGACCATGAAGCTGTTTGCAGAGCTCGAAATCAAGAGGAAGGAAAGGGAAGCAAAGGACATGCACGAAAGGTAAATCACACACTATGTTTATAACCCCTTTTTCTTTTTTAACGGTATCCTACCTAAACCTCTTTTTAATGTAAATCATTTTGATTCTAAATGTTATCACGAACTTTCTAAAACAGATTGTCATTACCTCTTTCTCTCAATTCACCAGAAAAAGGGCAAGAGAGGAAGAAATCGAGGTGGCAGACAAAGCAAAGCGGGACCGAGAATGGCAGAAAAACTTTGAGGTGGGTTCCTCCAACAATGCGGTCACTCTCTTATAAATAGAACCACGGCTGCTTTTGGCATTCAAAGGAAAATGTTCACCCACTCTTTTATGTGGATGCCTTATCGGAGTTAATGGTAAATGTTGTCAACTGTAGCAACAAATTATCCAGTGTGTGTTGTATTGACAGAAACAGTTATTCAAAGTTTTTCTGAACTTCTTATTTGTGACTTAAGCCTTTTATATTAATACATGATCTTTAGGACATACTATGACTTTTAATTACATTTTATGAGATGCTTAACTCATCTTGTTTTATGACACACATTTCTCCTTTTTTTAATGATTATTTCTGTAACACATTTTCAGGAAACAAGAGATGGGCGTGTGGACAGTTGGAGGACCTTCCAGGCTAAAGGAAAGAAGAGCAAGGAGAAAAAGCCCAGGTCCTTCCTCAAGCCCCCTAAAGTCAAGATGGAACAGAGGGAATGATGCTGAAAAATGGGACTTTATTAGATTAACATCCTCTGTTCTAAAAACCCTAGTTCTGTGTCATCACCTCGTCGTCTGCAGTCAACTGTGAAGTCTTCTCTCGGATACTTCGTACAACATTTCCCTCATCCGACCCTGACAAACGTAGTTTTGTACTTGGTTTTCTAATGTACATATTTGTGATCTGGACCCGGAGATCATACCTGCCTCATGAAAGAGAAAACGATGTATCTTCCACTTCTGTCACTGATGAGAAAAATGTGCTCTGTCATTGTTGTTGTCCTTTTTCTTTTTTACTAAATAAAGGTTGGTCCTAACAAGCCTACATTACAGCGTGCTACGAAGATGAGTCTCAAATATGCACCAAAAAAAAGGTATTAAAAAAACAAGTTTTGAGGTACTTGTTGGACACTTTACTAAGCCAAAATACTGACTGGATTCACACCAACCTTAAAACATGCTGTTGGATCAAAGCAGAACAGAATATGATCTGGAAACTTGACAGAAATATGTTCAGTTGTCCGCAATGTCTTAAGATGTTCATTAAGATGCTGTCAATAAAGGTATCTGCTGCACATACTTTTATATTTATATTGAATAAAATCCCCTTTAGTTTCTGCTTTTGTATTTTAAATGATTCCACCAAAAAAAGCAGTCCAGGAGTGAGAACACCAGATCAGTAAAATGGTAGTCATTCAAGGTCAAAGTGTCAGATTTACTCAATATCAATATATTCCATTTTCACAAGTGGCTACAGAGTTCAATGCAAAACAACCATCATGAACAATTAATATCAACTGAAAGAAACAAAGACAGACGAATATATTGGCCTTATCCCCTCTTCCTGGGTTAAGGTGCGAGCCTCTGCCTTTCCTCCGTGAGCTGTCTGTCCTTTCAGTCTCTTGAGGACCATTTGATTGTCGTGCAGTCAGGTGTGACATGACTTTACACTGATCCCCCCCCCCCCCCGCAGCAGCAGAGGACCGGCTGCTCCCCAGCAGCTCGTCCAGACTGAGGCCCTGAAATGCTCTGAAGAACGAGTCGTCCTTCACCGAGGCCGGCTTCCTGGGGGACTTGGTCTGCTGCAGGTGGGAGAGGGTGGAGACTGTTAGACGTATACTGACAACTAGGGCTGCAACCAACACTTATTGTTCTATTAAATGTAAGAAAATATTGCCATTTGACCCTAAAATGTCCATCCCAGATTAGATTAGCTTAGGGGTACTTGGTAGGTAATGTACATCAAGAGTAGAAAGATATAGCCATAGAGTACCCAATACACAAATATACCGTTTGAATACACACAGACCAACTTACTACTTAAAAATGTAAATAAAGGATAGTATATACATATATAAGTGTGCAAATAGCAACATAACAATTTAAATGTCTTGTGTCAATCCAAAACCCAAAGATATTCAGTAGTTAAAAGTTAAAACAAGAAATGTCAACATCTGAGCGCGGGAAAACTGCCAATTCTGCATATAAAATTTAAATGGCCAAGTCAGCCTTGACAAACTAATATATTTTTGATTTGTTTTGTTCATCTACCCTTGGGAGGCAGTGGTGGCTCCTGAATTGAGTTCTCCTGACCGTCCTCTGTGCGTTCTTCTTGGCAAGTTTGGCCTGCTGTTGTTTCCTTTGGCAAACAGCACAGAGCCACATTAGGAACAGCACAGGGGCAAGCAGTTTACTCATGTGAGGAACAGCCTTATCCTCATTAAACCATGTTTGTGTTGCCAAGCTGGATAACAAACACCATCAGAAACTAAAACTCTGAATGAGTCACTACACTTTCAGAAATCAATGAACACAATTTTGGGATAAATAACTCATACATGATATAAGAGACTAGATTGCCTGTTTGAGAACTAGTGACGTGTTCCCCGCCCTCTCCCTCTTCAGCTCCTCCTGGTACAGTCGGAGCCAGGAGTCGGGGACCTTCTGGCTGCTGCAGGGCAGGCTTCTCCTCCTGCTGACGCTGCTCCTGCGGCCACACTGCCCGCCCTTCACCCCTCTCTTGGTGGAGGGTTTCTTCCCAGACACACGACATGAGGGAGTCCATCTCTAGGCTGTCTGGAGCTGGTGCTGTTTGTGAGAGCTCACAGGTTTAAACACTGATGTTCAGGACAGAAGTCAGCGCTGTTGCTCTGCTTTACTTTCCAACAAGGGATGAGGCTTTTATCTGCAGATACAGAAAATAAACACTTTTATCCAGTAATCTTAAATTTATAGTAACAGCAACAAGTCAAGACATAATCGTCTCATTAATTCACGAAGTAGGGTTCTGTTCAATACATATCCATACATTTTCACAGATTATTCATTCTCTTAAAAAGACAATAACTGTTAGAAAAAAAGCTTAACGAAGATTGGCTACACCAAAGTATTTCAATGGAAATACATGAGGGTTCCTGGTATATTCTGTCTTGTAAGAGGTCTTCTGCTGAATACATTACTGTTCTACACAGTAGATCTGTCTTTTTTAACACAATATACTTTGTATTAAATAATCAACATTAGTCACCTGCAGGTATCTCCTGTAGACACAATCAGCTGATGGTAGGATATGTTAAAGCTGTAGAGTAGGCTACTCTCGTTGCTTCCACTACCTCAGTGCGTGTACATACACTTCTGCTCTGTCACAGAGTAATTCCTTGTACTTCTTAAATGAGTCATCATATCTGCTCATATATCACTTCCTCCTTCTCTGACCATGTCAGGCGATGGGATCAAGGTTGAGTCACAGAGGCCAGCTGACCTCAGTGACCCAGAGATCTGACCTCAAGGGTCCCAGCCTTTCTGTGGGACATGTTAAGCACACAGTGGTAAGACCCTATTGAGTTTATTTTACACTCTTGTGTAGCAGGGTCATTTGCTAATATCTGGTCTTGACGCCCCCATATAACCTGTTATATGTAGAGCATTTTAATCACTTAATTTACAGGACAAATGTGGAGTGAGAGAGAACGGGACATCGAAGCAGGTTATTAGATCAGCACTGCGTCACCCTCAGCTTGCATGACGCAGCATCCGTGCACCTGTTGCAGCCGTCCTGTGTTCCCTGACAGCTGAGCTCTGCGTTTGGAAAGAAGTCAGAGAGATTAGTTTCCAACAGACATTGGCTGACAAGAAATTAAAGGTAAAATGAGGCATACATTACAAGTTCAGTCGAGCACCAGGAGGACAAAATCAGTTCAAACTAATAGTTAAAGATCCTGCAGGCAGCGGGAAATAAGAAGTTAAGTCAGCTACTAAGATAAAGATAGTGGTAAGGGTCTGCTACTGGTGAACTGCTTTCTAGGAAAACTATTAAGAGAAAAATTACACATTTGTAAAGGTTATTTAATCAATAGAAGTTAAATGAATGCTGTGTTATTACTTTCCAGCAAGAAGTAAGTGTATCTTTGTTTATAGGAGTTCCCTGAAAACAGAACAATGCAGACTCCATGTTGACCTTCAGTTCAGACGTCTGACTTGAACATCGGTGGCGGCTTTAGTGAGAGGTAAAGATGGACTCAGACGCAGGGCTGGTATTTAAAGACGGGATGCCTCCCTTCAGCTACCAGAGGCCTGAACCCATACTGAGAGCACCATAAGCCTTTGGTAAGGAGGACTTAACTTTAATTCTACACAATCGTACATATATACAGTTTTATACGCTTTAATTTCTTACAAAAAAACAAGTAATATACAGTTGGGGGGGTGGGGACTATGACCTATATGAACTCAAAATAAATACCGGCAACAGGAGTTGTGTGTGGCTCGTTGGCTACTTCCTATGTGCTTTACCTCGATGGAGACTTCAGGTCTGACCGAATCACACGTGAAAAAAGGCAGTTTATGTTTTTCGGGTTTAAAAGAATGCAAGAATGTTCCCATGACTAATGCTGAACTACTAACAAGTCACTGAGCAAACATAATATGAGCATGTCACACACACTCACACACACACAGCCAACTCACACACACACACACACACACAAACCTATAAGACAGGCCAGAGAGGCCCGTGTGTGGAGTGCCCACCATTATCATCTCACTGGCGAAAATAACAGGCCTATAGATCTGTCTCCATATAGGGGAAAATCTTTTAGATGTATAAAAATAAACATGAAAAACGATATGCAACGCAATAACTCACTTGACCAAGACGTAAACATAAAACTTGAGACACTTGTCTCTTCTGGAGATAATTGCAATTTCCAAAGAAATATATATTCAATTTGAATTAATTGTTTCTAGCATAATATAATATTACACGTCTCCATGTTAAGAGTGATGTGGGTGAGGACTTGTACTGCATACACAGCTCTATCTCCTTTTAAACCTTTCCTTAGACTTCAGAATCAGAAGACATTTCTTCCCTTAAACTGAGTGATTGGGTCACCTGTAGTGTATATTTCCTTCTAAGACGGTGAATTATTTTCTTTACATGCTAATGAAAAGAATATACGGATGGACGGAAGGAATAGTCAAAAGGAAGACAGGAGCTGCATAGAGGGCTACTTTGGGTACAAACAATCTTCCACCAAAGACCTTTGTCCTCTGTGGAGGCTGTGGCGGGCAGAAAAGATTCATTCTTTTCAATTTGTCCAGTCTTTGTGTTACTTTGGTCTCTGCTGCAGAAACATGCCTCATGTGGCTGCAGAGGTGGATGTCCGATGGGCAGGGTGGTGGAGCAAGAGGAAGTTAAGGTGTCCATGCTTTATTGACAAACGACAGAAAAACATCCAGAGCCCCGATTAATTTAACAGTTCGCCTGCTCCACGATAAAAAAACGCTTGATCTTCTGTGTCATTCAGTCTCTGGAGGCTCAAGGGTCACCGGCTGATGTCCCGGTTGCCCTCCCAGCTCTTGCTGCTACCCGCCTCTGCGGCCGCCCCGTTCTCAAAGAAGGGGTGTTTGAGGGAGTCGGCCAGCGCCAGCCTCTTGGTGGGCTCGTACTCCAACATGCTTTCTATCAGGTCGAACAGCTGGTGGTGCTCCTCCGCCTCCGACAGCAAGTACCGCTGAAAAAGGGAGTAATGAGACACTGTCAAGGTACAGCAGTACACAACACAGTTAATTTCACTTTCAACCCTGCGAATAAACATCAATCCTTATTTCCTTTTCTACTCCCCATCAGCTCTTCTTACCCGTAAGGGTTTGCAGTTTTCTCTGACGTATTTCCCCGCTGAGGAGCTCTCGTCCCAGTCCAGACGGCCACGGTAGAAATACTTCTGCTTCCTGAGAGTTGAGACGTGACAGCGTGAGTGATGTGTAACTTTTATAAATAAAATATGTATGCATGCGTGTTGTAGGCACGTGTGTCTTCGCACCTCGTTTTACGAATCATTCTGGAGGGCACTGGTCCCAGGATCCTCTCCATCATGGCCAAATGCTCCCTGTTGTCGTGAGTCTGAAAGAAATATGAGTAAGGGATCCATGACTCAGCATTAAGAGGGATAAACTGATTCAGACTGAGTGTTGAACTGCTGCTGGTTCTGCTACATGAAGAGTAAACAACATAGTCAGAGCTAAAAAATTGTGTTAGTTTGGCTATTTGGTGAGATACAGGCTATATTGTCTAAATTGAAATGCTAAAGTAGAAAAGTCTTTAACTTTTATCTTACCCCTAGATTCCACCGGGTCCGTCTGCGTCATGTTACGGCCGCGCTGCGGCGTTCGCAAATATCGCGGCCACTCTAGTCAATGGGTGCTATTCCACCAGACGCGGCGTGTTACGGCTCAGAAGCGTCCCAGAAGCGTGTCGGCGCTGGGCTCCGCTCAAAATAGGATTCAAGTCTATTTTTGGACGCGAGGCGTTGCATAGCGTCGGGCAGGAAGTGGACCGGTCAGAGCATCCGGCCCATCCCCAAAATAAACTAATTTTGCAGACCCTATCCCTCCGTAGTCTTTCAAGTAGGAGGAGAAATGCCAGCGTTAGGGCTGCACGATTTTGGGAAAAAAAAATCTAAATTGCGATTTTTCTGACAAATATTGCGATTGCGATATTTATTTTTTAGCGACCCAACGGAAGTTTATTGTAAAATGCGGCCATAACTCCGGCTAGGAAGGTCGTATCAACGTACTCCCGTCTCAAGCACCCCCGCAGCCCGAGCTAGGAGTGAAAAAACTAAACTTACATGAAACTTCCGTTGGGTTGCTTTAAAGTCAAGCTTCAGTTTAAGATTCTCCCTGTAATAGATGTAAAACATGTGATGGAGCATTACTAACCTGACTCAGATGGTTTGTTTCACCAAACCATCTAGGAAAGCTCCATTGGAAGCCATTTGGAAAGGGCAGGCACTTTCAAAAATACTTGGCAGGTGATTGGATCAATCTGTCTATCACCTTCTATCATGGGCCACTTCTGATTGGTTAACAATGGTTGGTACATGTGGAGCACAGCACTTCTGATTGGTGTGGGTGACTGACACACAAGAAAGAAAAAAAAATTAAAAAAAGTTTTTAAAAAATCGCAGGCTTTGCGATTTAATAATCGCATCATTTAAATCGCGATTTCGATTTAAAATCGATTAATCGTTCAGCCCTAGCCAGCATTCTCCTCCGGTTTACAGGCACTGTGTAAATTATATATATAGAATAATTATGATGATGAATGCATTTTTGTACCACTAAAATACAGCAACACATCTTTGATTCATGTCGTGTATAACTGGAATATTACAATTAGTATTAACTTTGTCTGTACAAAGTAGCCTGTCCAGGAAATATGCCCAAATCAACAAAAACTGCGAGCCAGCAGGCAAGACACTCCGCTTCTGAAATGCTCCTGATACGCGCCCGGTAGGGTGTGACGCGGGAGGAGGCCGGACCAAAACCGTGGCGCAGCCGTGATGCGACGCAGACGGACCCGGTGGAATCGAGGGGTTAGGTTCCAGCAGTGGGCTGTCATTGTACCTGAAACAAGGTGAAGCCCAGGTAGTACTCAAACAGGATACAGCCGATGCTCCACACGTCACAGGGATGGCTCCAGCCCAGCTCTAAAGAACAAAAACATGCATCCAATTAATGAAAACATCTAAACAAATGTGTAAATGTTCAGTCTTCTTAAAGCTGGTTAACTGCTCGCTATCATTACACAAAAATGGTCAAATGACTCAAAAGCATTTCAGTTACATAGGGCAAATCCAGTTCATGGAACAAATATCATGAGGCTTCAGGAAAAGATTGCAATCTAGGAGGCAACGGCTCATTGACTTTAATTGTGTGATTATTTCTACATTAATTGTTTAATCGGATTGACCACTGCTCCCTGGCAGAAGTATTGTTGTTGCTGTTGATAATATAGGAATGTAAGATAGATGCAAACCGGGCTTAATTAGAAGAGGCTTTTAAACAGAGGAATGCTGAGCTGTGCTTGTTTTTTGGGGGGGGGGGCAGTGGGTGTGTGTGTCTACAGTAGTGCTGTAGCGACGCGTCGACTTCAAAATATCGTCGACGACATATTTCCGCGTTGACGCGTTGCTACACACACGTGGGTCACCCGAAGCAACAAGCAGTTCGCAATCGCACTTCAAACACAATGGAGACTGAAACGGCTACCACCTCCTCCTCACAGGATTGCGCACGAAGCCCCCAAACGAAAACATCTCGCCCTAGGTCTTCAAAAGCATGGGAATATTTTAAAGTTAGTCCAAAACACAAAGATATTTATATCTCACTGAGACTGCTGCATAGCCTAGCAGAAGCAGCAGCTAGCTGTGGTGGCTACCATTAGCAGCTAGCATTTGCTCTCCGATTTTTACATAAAATGGAATTATGGATTATAAATTCAATCATTTTTTTATACATAGACGTTAAAAACCTATGGATTAACCGATTCAGCCGCGTTTTTTCTCATTTTATTGCCATTGAACACGTCTTTTGATCAGATTACGGTGGTGAGACGATCTCCCGAGAAGCTCTGTGAAGGTACGTGTTGTGATGACTGTATTTGCTTCCCTTGTCGCGAGTCCGGATCACTCAGTGATGATACTATATACCTACATAATCTGTGGAGTCTCAGTTTTAATCGGATATATTGTATGTGCAGCTACGATAAGTAATAAGGGTACTTTTATCTTGAGTTCTGTGCCAA